CCCCAAAACCCCAAAACCCCAAAACCCCACTTGCTTGGAAGAGTCCTCTTTTTAATTAATTAAAGATAAACTTCCAAAATGCAGAACTTCTTCAAAATGGGAGGATATCACATACATGATTAAGAACACTGCTGCTAACCCACTCAAGCAAGATATTTTCATTTGTTCAGTTTACATGATCACTACCTACTAGAAGAGCACTGAGAGTAGATTAAACAACTGAAGCCCATTTATGAGTGTCCTAGCTAAGGTAGGCACCCTGAAGAGTTGTCCAGAATACCAAGTTCAATAAATTAGATGAATTAAAGTTATTCAATACTATATCAAGGCTTTAGCATAAACACTTATTTGATTTAGTGACTTGCTCTTGAACTTTTATCCAACTTCAAAACTACTTTTGACTACCACCTAACTCCCATTTAGTTTAACACAATGCCAGTCAGATTCCTGAGTCCAAAGATCAGCACAACTTCTACGATGTGTGGAATGGTCTTCTACCTGATCTGAATAGATTCAAAGATGCATGTTTAGACCTCAGAAGCAAGTCATCTCCCAATAATACTAATCTTCCATCTGCTATTTTCAAAATTTCCTCCATTAAAAATCGGGAGAATATATTTTACTCCATTTGTAATAAAGGAAAGTTAACTTTTTAGTTAATCTAGTCTCTTAATTAACCATCAAAGAATATACCATTGATATTACCTTCATGCATTATGGGCTGGTGCTTGTATCTTGATTACAAATGGTCAGCTACAGATTAACTTTCGTTATGCCTCATAGTAGGATGATTAAAATATCTCAGATTGGTACCATATACTCTGAACTTTATATCATTGCGTTAAAAGTTTCACCTAAAAACTTGAATATCCGACTTATTTTGCTTGATCCGAACAAACTAAAAGAAACTACCAGTAGTGGAACCTTGTCCAGTTCCAGTCAGACGCTAAAGATCTCCTAAATATTCTCTTCGAAAGTAACCTGAGGAAGGACCACAAAAAGCAGCTCTATTTCAGGCTGTTTCAGGAGTCAAGAAAGGAATTAGGCTCAAAGAAGGGGACATTCCCTCAGGAACAAAATAAGCACAATCCAGGGATATTTTCAAGGTAGAAATAATATACTCTCTAAGGCAAGAACTCTAAAGCTTCATTGGTTAGGCTAGCCAGAAGAACTGTCAGATCCAGGGCGTACAAGAAGAGCAGAAGCAGATTGAACAAGATTTTTAGGCATTGCACAAGAAATGAATATATAATAATAATATTTAAGGGGGTTATTTAGCATTCGGGGTTTTGGGGTTTTGGGGTTTTGGGGTTTTGGGG